GTAACGCCTTCCATCAAAGTACGGGTGCCTTCATTGTTCCCCAAACAGGACTCTATGTCTTCACATGGTCTGTGAGGATGTTTGGTGGTACTTATCACAGCGTGGAGCTGGTTGTCAATGGAAAAGAAGAAGGGGAGGTCTTCCAAATTTCTGAAGGTAATGAAGACGACCAGGGCGGCAGCACTATTGTTATTCTGGCCAATGAACAGGACGATGTTTTTCTTAGGACCAGCATGGATTATAATAAAGGTCCTCTATATAGCAACGCGTACGGATATACATCATTTGCTGGATGGAAATTAACTAAAAACCTAATTTTACTAAATTCAGAATTGTAGTCCTATAAAAATCTAGTTAAATAAATATTGAAAGACGAATGTAATGAACTTTCTTTTATTCATTTTTTGCAATATCAAATGAAGAGCATTTAAATTATGTTTAAACTTTTTTTTTGCAAACTTTAGAAAGAACTAACATTTAACTTTAACATTTCTGTTTTATTAGGTCACCTGAGTAACTCAGGTGACCTATTGCTATCCGTTTTCGTCCGTCGTCGTCCGTCGTGCGTCGTGTGTCGTGTGTTAACATTTGAACATTTTCAGCTTCTTCTCTGAAACCACTGAACCAATTTCAACCAAATTTGGTATACAGCATCTATGGGTGGAGGGGAACAAAAATTGTGAATTTCATGGTCCCCGCCCCCCTTGGGCCTGAGGGGTGGGGCCAAAACTACTAAAATTAATGAAATCTTTAAAAATCTTCTTCTTTACTCCTGGACATCAAGCAGGCAAACTATTGGCATGAATGTAATGAGCATTGAGTTCTGTACCAAAATTGTGAAATTCATGGCCCCAGGGTCAGGGGTTCTAGTGCTAGGGCGGGGCTCTATAGATTATATAGTGAAAATGCATTATTTCTTTGAAAATCTTCTTCTCCGCTCCTGGGTATTAAATACACAAACTAAGCACAAAGTTATGATGAGCAAGAGTGCCTCTTCCAGATTTGTGAATTTTATGGCCCCAGGGTCAGGGGTTCTGGTGTTAGGGCGGGGCTCTATAGATAATATAGTGAAAATGCAGAATTTCTTTGAGAATCTTCTTCTCTGCTCCTGGGTATTTAATAAACAAATTAAGCACATAGTTATGATGAGCGAGAGTGCCTCTTCCAGATTTGTGAATTTTATGGCCCTAGGATCAGGGGTTCTGGTGTTAGGGCGGGGCTCTATAGATTATATAGTGAAAATGCATTATTTCTTTGAAAATCTTCTTCTCTGCTCCTGGGTATTAAATACACTAACTAAGCACATAGTTATGATGAGCAAGAGTGCCTCTTCCAAAGTTTTGAATTTTATGGCCCCAGGGTCAGGGGTTCTGGTGCTAGGGCGGGGCTCTATAGATTATATAGTGAAAATGCATTATTTCTTTGAAAATCTTCTTCTCTGCTCCTGGGTATTAAATACACTAACTAAGCACATAGTTATGATGAGCAATAGAGCCTCTTCCAGATTTGTGAATTTCATGGCCCCAGGGTCAGGGGTTCTGTTGTTAGGGCAGGGCTCTATAGATAATATAGTGAAAATGCATTATTTATTTGAAAATCTTCTCTCTTCCTGGGTATTAAATACACTAAATAAGCACATAGTAATGATGAGCAAGAGTGCCTCTTCCAAAATTGTGAATTTTATGGCCCCAGGGTCAGGGGTTCTGGTGCTAGGGTGGGGCTCTATAGATTATATAGTGAAAATGCATTATTTCTTTGAAAGTCTTCTTCTCTGCTTCTGGGTATTAGATAAACTAACTAAGCACATTGTTATGATGAGCAAGAGAGCCTCTTCCAAAATTTTGAATTTTATGGCCCCAGGGTCAGGGGTTCTGGTGTTAGGGCGGGGCTCTATAGATAATATAGTGAAAATGCATTATTTCTTTGAAAATCTTCTTCTCTGCTCCTGGGTATTAAATACACTAAATAAGCACATAGTTATGATGAGCAAGAGTGCCTCTTCCAAAATTTTGAATTTTATGGCTCCAGGGTCAGGGGTTCTGGTGTTAAGTCGGGGCTCTATTGATTATATAGTAAAAATACATTTATTCTTTGTAAATATTTTTCTTTGCTTCTGGGTTTAAAGCCAATGATCCAAGTATATATATATATTTATGATGAAGAAAGGTGCATATAGCAAAGTGGTTTTAAATGCCCCCAGGGTCAAAGGGGGGGGGGTGGTTACATAGCCTGAAAATAAATTAATGCTTTGAAATCTGCTGTTTGGTATTAATCAACCATTTTATGATAAAATTTGCAAAATTTTGAAATATATGACCTGGGTCAGTGGTTCCTTTGGGGTGAGGTGCACAACTGGTTATAAAGTGAAAGTGCATTTTCTCTTTGTTACTCTGATCTACCTCTGGGTATTAAGTAAATAGAGTAAGCATTCTAAGTTAATAATTATGATAAGCAATGGTGCCTCTTTCAAAATTGTAAATTGTGAATTTCATGGCCACCGGTTTAAACACGAACCAAATTTAATTGTTTGAAAGTTGTTACACAATACTCAGGTGACCTATAAGGCCCGTGGGCCTCTTGTTTATTTAAATCCTGATAACTAAAGAAGAAATCTAAAGATAACGAACAATAATTAAGCTAAAAATACAATTTGAACAATAAAAATTAAGAGAAAATCAAATAAGGACCTCGAAAATATTAGATAGAGATTGGATCAAGCGCCATGAAAAAATGAAAATAGTGATTAATATCACAATATCTTTAAACAAAAAGATAAAACGTGAATTCGACAATATAGATAATATGAGGACAGCAAGAACATGTATAAAACATAATTATATCTATTCCTTAGCGGTACGTATAAGGTACATATAGAAATAATTATTAAATACTATCCAAAACTTTAAAATTGCACGAATAAAAAAAAAAATAACAAAGTGTATGCCATTAATGCAAAGGGGAACATAAGAGAACAAATAGGGGAAACTGTTCTCAAAGAAGTTTGAAAAAGTTGATTGTTTTATAAATGAACAAAGTTTTTTTTTCAAAGAATTTAAAACATTTGAATATTTGACTTGATTTATTTTTTTTAAGCAGATATGTATCTACTGCAGTATTTAATATCTAATATTTTTTTTTATTTCTGAAAGAAGAAGGTATGGTTTTAGCTTTATTGCGCCCTAAAAATGTAATGACATGAATAAGATTTGAAACTGGCTTAAAAATTATTTAAAAATTCAGAAAAGAATATGGCATGAAGGTTTACCATTCTGCAAATATGACGTCATTAATGTGAAGCATTTCTCTATTTTCAACAGAAAAAAAGCCTCAAAATGGCACATTTCAAGGGTGATTTTCCTTTAGAAAACAGTGTCCACAGCCGTCGACCACGTTAATTTTTTGATATTTTGTGCAAAGTTCAATAACAAATCACATATCTCAAGATCTTTGTGGGCGATGCCTGTGGACAATGTTATCTGAAAGAAAATTCCATTGAAAATTGGTGTCTTCTGCAACTTTTTAAGAAAATACGGGAAAATGCACATGTTTATGACGTCATAATTAGCTTTAAAAACATTTGTGAGAAAAATGACTTGTATGATTTTTCTGCATTTAATTTCAATTATTTAAAAAGCATGAGTATTTAATTTTTACACCAGTTTCATTTTTTAGAAAATCACAGGGCAAAATTTTTATGGAAACCATACCTTCTTCTTACTGTACATATTGAAAAAGAAGTGGCATTTATTGTTATTTTCTTTAAAAAAACCATTATTTCCTTCATTTCATCGACACATTTCTTTGTTTTAATGTACTTTATAAAATATTTTTCAAATCCGAAAAAAGGTTTTAAAAAATCAGTAGGAGAAAAAGTTACTTAATTTATCCTTTCGAATTCTGATTTACTTTTCCATTTATGCTGACCAAATCTTGCTCGTACCAAATGCGAAGACTTTATCCTAAAGGCTGATATCGTAGATAGTTATATTGAAAGTGATGTATGCCTATTGACGTATCTAGTTTAAGTTGATTTTGCTAATATGTAGGTTTTAAATTTGGCTAAACAGTTATGAAATAAGAGATATATAATAGACGATAATTTCCCGGCTGGGTTGGGTCGCCCTTACTTTAATGGGTTAATCTAACAAAAACCACTAACAAAACCATTATCAAAATTATTCAAGACCTTCTTGTATACAGTTAAAAAAAGTTGACAATGACATAGAAATATGAAATATGTTCATTTACAGTACCCTGCGGGTTCGCCATTTTTTAAGTTCCTGAAAGTCACGCAATCAGGGACACTAGAGATAGGATCGTGTGCCTCGGACAAAACAGGTTTAACTAAGAATTTGACGTGAAATGTCTTTATTACATGTACTTTTAAAAAACTGATAAATATTTTGTCTCATTCGCAAAGATTTACAAAAATGAAATAATTTCCTTTTAAAGATACTGGTTTCTTGCATCTTTCCTTTAAATGGTTCCTTTAAACAATAGATAGAAGAGAATCCATGACCTTTTTTTCTTTTTGTAAATCTTTAAGTCCTTCATTTGTGCATCATGTACCAGTACTATTTCTATTTGGAGTTTTCATGTCTAACTTTTCTGAAGGTAAATTCGTAAAGCAAGCGATTTTTATCCTCTTTTAAAGACTAAAGGTTTCAAGTCAAATTTATATTAGAGATTAGTAATTAAAAAAAACCGTTTTTCATACAGTTAAAGCCATGTTTGTTTTTCATTTTTTTTGGATAAATGGATAGGTATCATAGGGGGCGTCCTGCTATATGGATAATTTCATGAAAATCTCAGAAACAAAGGTATAAGCACAATTTTGCATTTTTCACATTTATACTGCACACGCACACTCCCTCCCTCCCTCACCCTCCCCCACACGTTAATTCACATATTTAATACGAACATGCTAAAATTATTATAGATGTATGATAGATGCATATGATTATCAATTAAATACAGTTTTCAATATTCTTCGAAAATATGTAAAAAAAAAACTAAATAAATGATTTACTAATGCAAATAAACGCCAGTGGCATCGAAGTTTCTACATTCAGGAAAGTTTTTAGGAGCCCTGGGAACAAAAGGAAAAGATTCATTTAATACTAATGCCATTCCTTGTAACGAATGAATTTCTATGTGACAATGCATGAACCAGAGTCCTGGATTGTCTGCTTTAAACCTAATTACAGTATAGCCTCCATTTGGAACAATAATTGTGTCTTTTCTTGGAGGATTTTTCAACTCCAGACCAGGTATATTTCCATTTAACCACGTTTTGTCCCTCCATGTTGCATTATTACAATGACTATAATCATTGTCAAGGTTTTTACCACCGCTGCAGTCAATATCTCTGTTCTGGTTAAGAAGGAATCCATACTCCTCATCGAATGCTGCGTATCCCATCTTGACCACATGGAACGAGTGTCCATGCATATGTATAGGATGATACCATCCGGAACCCATGCCAAGATGCGAAAGAACAAGTTGTACGGTATCACCATATTGTAATTGAAGAGAATGTGTGCATCTACAGGTTTTTCTATCTGGACATCTGCCTTCACATAGTGTGTTTACCTCCCTTGGTTGTGTTAAGGCCGACACAGACGGCATTTCAAATTCTGTTCCGCTCACAGATGGGTATTTTCCGAAGAATCCAAAATTTAAGAAATGTTCTTGAAACCTTCCGGGGATAACAGGAGGCGCAGGATCATCATCAGTGCTCGATTTTAATTGATCAAACGGAATGCATTCTATTCCTTTTACAAACCCAAAAGAAGAGAATGGGCAGTTCAACACACGACAAGGGACATATTCTGAACAGACAGCTCTTTTAGAGTTTGGTTCAACTTCATCAGCACCCTCATACCTCAAAATGGCTTCTGCAATGGTGTGTCGATTACTCTCTAGAGTTTTTCCACGTATCCAATAATTACCAATAGGACGAATCGCTTCAAGATAAAAGTCAAATCTTTCCCCTGGATTGATTATAAACGACTCCACAACCATAGGTTGAATGGGGTAACCATCTGATTCTATGACAACTAAATTGTGACCATCCATAGATATTCTGAACGGAAAATTGGCACCTGTTGCTAAAACACGAAACCGATACTTTAACCCTTTTCTAACGTGAAATACTTCCAATGGCGCACCGTTGTGATCTTTTGATTCACCATCCACATAATGTCGCCCTTTTCCATTTATTAGAACAGAGTGAAAAACCATACGACTAAAAGTCATTCCATCATGTGACCTGGACGATGAGCGCCACATTCTATTCTCGATAACATTATGTTCGTGTAGTAGGTTTTGTTTAACCGCATCAGAATCATGGTTCCATTCCATTACCTGAAGAATATGTTCCTCAATTGGATTTATTTCTTTCTTTCTCACAATAAAAGCCCCCGCCAATCCACTTGATCTTTGTGACCCAGAATGAGAATGATACCAGAATGATCCACGTGGATACGCCTGAAATTTGTATGTGAACTTTTGCCCAGGCAGAATAGGACACTGCGTAATAAAGGGGACGCCATCCATATATGGTGTGTTACGTTGATGAAGTCCATGCCAGTGTATGGTTACTGATTCAGAATGCATCTTATTAATAACATGCACAATCACTGTTTGACCTTCATATACAATAATATCCGGAGCAGGGAGTGTTCGATTAGCGACGGTTACCATTCGTGGTTTCTCCCACCCGTCAGCTGTTATGACCTCATCTGAGGGAACTGGAGTAGCGGATGTTATATTTTTTACGTTATATCGGTATATTTTTCCATTAGCAGAAAACACTGACGATAGTTCTTCGTGTATCATCGTGAAATAATTTTCAATAATAAGAGTCGTTTCACATTCTCTAGCATTTTGATCACAAACGTATCCAAAAGCCGTTGATAAAGTCCACACTATGTAAAGACAGATCTTCCAAATATGTGCCATCTATAAAAAAAAAACATTAAAAAAATAATCAAAGTTGAAGACAAAGTTAATGCTGAAAAAATATCTTTAGACGAATATAAACAAATTAATTATTGCTTGATAGATATTTACATATCTATCCATCATACTTTTTGAAAAAAACATCATTGAAATTCGTTGACCTTTTTTTCGAATTATATATTTGCTTTTATAGCCATGGACTAGTAAACAATCCCATGATTGCTTTATAATTTATTTAATTGCTATATAATTAGATTTGTCAAGACATACAAGCCTTTAATCCATAAATCTGCATTAAACTATATTCAGTAAACAAAGTCAACGAAAGCACTTTTGAAAAAAATCCAATCTATTGAGTAAATATATTCCTTGTTTAAAAAAAAGAAAAAAGTACAACATTGTATATAGAAGTACATTAATAGGTTAGATAGACTTAAATAGAAGTCGTATACATTCTTTTTCATTGCCTTCGATATCCAAGATTTGGGGGCATATAGTTTTTGGTCTGTTCTTTTGTTAGTATTTTAACTTTTTGAACGTGAAAGGTTTGGCTTTAATTGCACATCTGTATTTCTTGTGAAAAGACCTCCAAGTATATACTTTGGAGTTCAAACAATACACTTCTGTTGTGATACTTCAAGATTTATGAATCTATGAATAACCAATGCAACATATCATGAAAACTAGCTGCTTTGAATACTGAAAGGCACCACAATCGTTAATTCAGGACGATCGACTTTGAATTGAAGATAATTTTGAATTTCTTTAGTTAATTCTTTCATTAAAATGCTTTCGAAAAAAAATTGAAAATTTTCAGATGTATAAAATCGCAAAATTTAAAAATGACACAGGTAACTGAAATAGCTTAACTTACATGTCTGGGAGAAGATAAAACCATGTAGATGATCAAAGGTTACGGTAATTACACAGATTGATATACCATCAAATTAATATAAAGCGATGCATAATCCCGAGACTATACCTGTTTTTTTAAGCCGCTTCAAGTTTCTACCAAGTGCTCTTAAGAATTTAATTTTAAATTATTTAGCTTGGCATTGTACTATAACAACTTTCTCCTTTCCATTCAGCTTTCAGATTTTTTAAGATATAAAGCAATTACATTGTTTATTGTAAACAGTTTTAATTTATCAAAGTGGCAGATATTGCACGCACAAAAAGGAAATAAAATTTGAATAATACTTGAAAGTACATGTACTACATTTGCTTATGATATTTAAGAGGGAAAACGGATTCATCTACTTTGAAAATATAAACTTCACCGTAAGTTAAGCGTAATTGTTTAGTAATTAAATATAAATTATGATTAATCACTGATTTGTCATAGTTAATGTTTAAAAAGAAAAGTTGCGTTACAATCCATCATCAATTGGACAAGTTACTAATTTTTTTGATAAGTGAATTGTGTTTATACCAGGAAATTAAATGTTTAAAATCATTCAAAATTTAATGCTGCAGATTCCATATTTGGTGTCTACCAATTCTCCAAGATTAAAGAAAGTATCGAAAATATGTTTTGCCAGTATTTAAAATTACCTTGGTTAAAGATTATCCAAAAATTAAACTGTTCAATTTACAAGATATTTGAATATTATATTTTTAAATTCGATGCTGAAGAATTTGAAAAAAAGCTCATCTTATTTATTTGAGAAATTGTCTTACCGTAATAAAGGAATTTGCGTACTGCAAGTATCTTCTTTGTATCTTCTTTTGTAGAGCAGCAAAAGCACGTCCGGTGTTTTTTTGTTTTGTTTTTTTTTTTTACTATTTCTAGTTCGTCAACTTTGCATAAGAAATCCTTCCAACATTATAAAACAACTAGATGTGTTACAGTGAGATTTAAATATTTTAATGTTAACTTATTCCTCATTTAATTGCAAATGTTTAACACGGTCTAGTGTTTTGAAGTTATATAAAGATTACCTCCAACGATCATATTTTATTATTTGTAATACGATACTACACCATATTAACGTAAAAAATGCCAAATTAATATGGGAATAAATTCCTGATATCAGTTTGTCGCTGTAGATAAATTTATGCACAAAATTTGATTGCATTTTTTTATGGGATGATCTTAAAAAATTGTCACAGTGCAAGTCTAGACTTTTCATTTGCTATAATGATTTCAGCATAATTTACATGAGCTTGTGAGGGTCCTATAAATATTTTGGATTGGTTTTAAGAATGTTTCAAAATTTATTTTTTCCTTTTTTGCACAGAAAAACTAAGAATGAGTAACGTCTTTGAGATGACTGGGAAACTTATTTCATCAGACGTATTGAAGGAGCACTTAAGTAGATTGCCACTTTTCCTGTGTATTAAGAATAAAAGGAAAATTTGTGAGAGTGCAAGGATGTGTCAATCAAACCCATAAAAAATTTAAAGTTTCAATAACAATGAAATTAAATTTTTAATATATTTTTGTGTGAAATGCTATTACAATATATGTGATATTATACAGAAAATATTAACCTCAAATCTGTGTCCATGCACCTTTGAAAATACATTGCTGATTGCCTAATATATTAGATAATCGCGATATACTTGTATGCAATATTCGAGTGAACGTAATTTGCGATTCATTTTCAAAAAAAGTGCATTGAAAATTAAAAAAAAATTGAGAAAAGATTATTTTATTTTTATTTATACAATTACAATGCATATCACAATAAATGAAAATAAAATAAAAAAGAAATAAGGAAAGTCATTTTCAATATGAAGTAACCAATACCTAGCCCTACTATTGCCATGTTTAATAATAATTTTAAGGTAAACATCGCTTAAAATTTTATTTTAATAATTTTCTTACACCCAGAAGTGGAAAAAAGAAAATGCCAGGCAGAGTAATAAATATATTAGATATATTGTTAATTAATACTAGGTGTACTGCTCTTCCATTAAAAGTGCCAACACTCATGAAGCAAAAGACATCAGCATGACTGGTGCTGCACAGTAATTATATTTCTGTAATGTCCTCATCTTTAGATTATCTGTTGATGTGTATGCAAATAGAATGTTTGCAATGATATCAAATGTCTAGTAAAAGATGGTCGGAAAAATTTATATCTTATTGTGTGGTTCCCTTATATTTATTTTGTGTTTATACTATTCATTAAGGAGTAGAGTTATTTATTCTAATTGAAGGATTTATTTCAAAAGCGTTATAAATTGTGCAACCACAATTAATTAAGAAAAGACGAACGTCACTCAGGATAATATGATTCAAGCTCCAGTTTATTAATTCAACAAAGATCCATAAATAAGGAAATTAACAAGGGATTACTCGTCGAAGGAAACAGAAAGAAGTTATAAAAAGATAAGGAAAAGGGAAATTTCACACCTGTTTATACCATTTGTCCAATTTTTTTTTCAAAAATATACAAATCATGAATGAGCATAACAATTAAAACTGTCCAAACTTGCTTATCATTTGTTCAAATTTTGTTCTTTTAATATACAAACATCAAAGAAAATTAAACTATGAATAAAAATAACAAAAATACAATAAACTGAATTGAAACATTGAAGAATTTGAAAAATATTATAACAATTTAATGTAACGGAAAAGGATCATTAAAATTGTGTGAAAATTTAAAGGAGGTTTAGGAATACAACGACATTCAACATAACAGACATGCTCCCTTGTGATCGATGGTCAACAAACTGTGCATGAAATATCACAAAAATGACTACATATCCACCACTAGGAATAATGACTGTATCCATGGTAGGAGGGTTCTTAAGGTTAAGTCCAGGGACATTCCCATTTTGCCAAGATGGATCACTCCAAGTAACGTCTTTACAGACGATATTTTCTTCGGAAATGTACACATTTTTTCTACATGCGATTTCGTTGTTCTGAGAAATGATATGTCCATTGGTCTTATCAGATACTGGAAATCCCATTTTCAAAAGCTCGAAAGAGTGCCCATGCAAATGTATTGGATGTGCCCATCCATTCCCAAAGCCAAGATTTGTTAGAACAAAGTGGATTGTATCGTTATGAAAAAGACTTAGAGAGTTGGTGCACTGACATATTTTTTTCTCATTGCAATGGGCTTTGGTGCAGAGATTTGATATACTATTTGGTTGCGTCAGAGCTGAGACTTGAGGGAACAGAAACTGCCTTCCATTTATAGAGGTTGATTTCCCAGAAAAGCCATAGTTAAAAAAGTATTCTTTGAAGTGACGTTTATTTATCAACTTTGGAAAAATGGACAGTTCTCTGGAAAATACCTGATCAGCTGTTATACACTTTGTGTTTCGATCTTCTAGATCATGTTCAAATGGGCAATTGAACACCGAACATGGTTCGGTTAATGTGCAAACCTTTTTGGATGTATTAGGATTTACAGCATCAGCCTTTTTATATCTTAATATAGTTCGTACCTCAACATTACTAACTTTTTCTAAAGTATTAGCTCTTATCCAGAAGTTTTTAACATCGGAGCTTATTCTTGATATAGTAAAATCAATCCTCTCTCCAGGGTAAAGGATAAAGGAATCGACAGATAGGGACTTGATGCTGTATCCATTTAATCCCAGTATTCTTATTGTGTGACCATCAATGGAAATTCGTGATGGTAAAACTGCTCCAACATTTATTGCACGGAATCGGTAAGTTGTCTCAGATTCATTGACTCCAAAAATATGAAATGGAATTGAATTTCCACCTCCTCTTCCATTCATAAGAGCATCATCAGGAGCGAACAGGCCATCAGTAGAACTTTTAGGTGAATTTAAATTATCGACATATATAGCGCTTGTCAAAGGTGAATCATCTGTTACATGCTGTCGATCGTACCAATCTTGAACTTGGAGAATATGTTCAGGATTATCTTCTGACTTAGAACGAACAATAAAAGCCCCAAACGCTCCATTGATTCTCTGAGATCCTACCGTGGAATAGTACCAAAATGTTCCTTTTGGATATGCCTGAAACTTGTATGTGAATGATTGTCCAGGTAGGATGGGGCATTGTG